CCAACAGCCACAGGTTCCTTCTCCACTTCTTCCTCTTCATTCTACTGTCCAGAGTCAGAGGACCCGAGAGGACCACCCGAGAGAAGTGGGCAGGTGCCAGAAGGCGTGTGCCGAGATTTCCATAGACCAGCGCCCACTCTGGGGTAGTTCCTGAATATGTAAAACCGTGCGATGGATATGGATGACCTACGGGGAGAAAACGGGAGCCGGGAGGGGGGAGCGGTCGCGCGTGTCAGGCGGAGTCATCCCCGCGCGTCCGGCAGCGTAATAAACAACTAGCGGCTTCATAGCGCCTGTGGCTCTTGAGTTTTACTACCGTCGCCTTTTCCCGGCATCCCCGAGGCCTCAGCTGAGATGGGGTGACCCCCAGGCTGAAGCAAAAGCCGCTGCGGGCTGAAGCAGCGGGGCACAAGGGCTGAGATGAGGATGGCTCTGGGCTTAGACAAAACCGGCTGCAGCTGAGGTGGGGGGGGCAGTTATGAGGCAGAAAGGGCTGTGGGCTGAGGCAAAACCGGCTGCGGGCTGAGGGAAAAACTGGTGCGGGCTGAGGGGAAAACACCTGAGGGCTGAGGCAAAAACAGTTGCCGATGAGGCGGGGCGGCCCCAGACTGAGGCAGCAGCGGCGCCGGTTCTCAGCCTGGGCGATGGGGTGGGGCGGGGGGAAGAGGCCAGGCACTGAGCACAGTGGCGAGGAGTCTCCCTACAGCTCCCCGGCCCCACGCCGTCCCGCTCCAACTTGAAGAAAGCCCCAGTTCCCTCCCATACACTTCTTTGAGTTTTTCCTTTATTTTTTTTCCTATTCCTATGGTGGCACTGGAGGGAGCACCCGAGGTGCTTCAGGTGACATAATAAAATCCTGGAGATCTTATACAGGGTTCACGTGAGGGAGGTCCGATAACCGGGGCGGAGCATGGGACGGACATCTCAGGGTGCCACAGGATTGGGGAGTAGGGAGAAGGAGGGAGGAACTTGGGAGGAGTCAGGTATCTGGGGCCAATGGGAGCTCACTCCGCACTGCGGCATTTTCTGGCCAATCAGTGTGGGATGAGCGGGAAAGCAGGGGAGAGTAAGGGAGAAAACAACTTTTGGTGGGAAATAACTGGGGACAAGTTCAGACGTGTCTGGGGTAGTACAAATCAAGGGGATTGATAGAGAGATATATGTGTGGGTACATTAAACTGGGTTCAGAACTGGGGTAAAAACATGGAAGTCCATAAGTTGGTGTTTTCCTCAAGAACCATTCAGGTCTCTGCAAGCTTGGAAATGCTGCCATTCTGTTTCTTGTTCCTCCACACATACGTTGGCTGTTTTCCAAGTCCTTCTTGACTCTGCCTCCTTTGCGAGTGGAGGCATTTCAGTGTCGGGCAAGGACACTTCTTCAGACTGTGGTGCTGCAGCAACACCTGCCATTGCAGAGCTCTTGAGGATCTGTGGCAAGAATTAGTTTATGTCAGAAAGGTGGCTTGCAGAGATGCCCTGAGATCATAGTTCAAATGCAAACCCTTGGGAAGATGCTGTTGGCCACCAGTTGGGCTCTTAAACTGTCTTTTGCTGCCCACTTCACAAAGTGAATGGACAAGAAGAAAAGACTGGATTTACACGAGTTCATGGGCAGTTTCCTCTTCAATTTTCATGCATTTTCTCAACCAAGCCGTTCAGAGGGGCAACTACCCTCTAGGGCACAGTTATTGCTATGTGTCCTGCAAGGGACCCTGACTCAACTTGCTAGTTCAAAACCCCTTTTCCAGGTGTCAGTGGCTGGGCTGAAGCACCATGTCATGGCAGGGCTCCAGCCCTCACACTCTTCAGCCATGCATGGCAAGCACTGTCTGCTCAGGAACTTGCAGCTCTGAATGACACCAAAGGCAGAGCTAACCAAAGCTGGCACTTACTGATTTCATTCCTTCAGGCATTACTGTTCCAACAGCCACAGGTTCCTTCTCCACTTCTTTCTCTTCCACCTCCTGTCCAGAATCAGAGGGGGCCAGAAAAGGTTCTGGTGCTGCTGTTGTGTCCTGGGGACAGTCAGTAGAGTCAGGGACAGTCACCATTCTGTCCCTTGCAAGGTTGGATAGTTACACACAATAACAAAAGGGTCATTTCACACAAGGCCACTTTCTTGTTCATTTTTCATGGATTTCTGAAAGAGGCCCTGTGGAGGGGCAGGTACATCCAGGGGACAGTTTCTGCTGTCTCCTAGGAATCCTGCATGGCAATCTAAAGACTAAACACAAGAGGGGTCAAAACTCCTTTTCCAGGTGTCAGTGGCTGGGCTGAAGCACCATGTCATGGCAGCACTCCAGCCCTCACACTCTTCAGCCATGAAAAGCAAGCTTGCTCTCATCACAAGTTCTAAATTACACCAAAGGCAATGCTACTGTACTCTGGCACTTACTGATTTAATTTCTTCAGGCTCTGCGGCTCCAACAACAGCCACGGTTCATTGTCCACTTCCTCCTCTTTAACCTCTTGTCCAGAAAAAGAGGGAGCCAGCAGGGTTCTGGTGTCACATTTGTGCCCTGGGGACAGTCAGTAGAGTCAGGGACAGTCACCATTCTGTCCCTTGCAAGGTTGGATAGTTACACACAATAACAAAAGGGTCATTTCACACAAGGCCACTTTCCTGTTCAGTTTGCATAGATTTTCTCAACTAGATTGTGCAGACAAGCAGGTAACCCCAGGGCACATTTATTGCTATGTGTCCTGCAAGGGACACTCTGGCTCAACTTGCAAGTTCAAAACCCCTCTAAGCAAGGTCAACCCCAGGAGGATGCAGGCCTGTGTGTTGTTCTGAAGAGCACTGAGGTGGAGGTTCTCAGCACCCAGACAAGAGCAGGGACACAAGGGGCATAGTGCTGATGGACTCAGCTCTGGCTTGCAAGGAGAGCAGTGTGTGCATTCCACCCCTGCCACCTTCCTTCCCAGCAGGGACAGCCCAGTGGCACCTTGTGCAGCTCCCTCTCTCTGCCACAAAACCTGCCAGAACCCTGGAGCACTTCTGGCCTGCTGGAATGTGCCAGGCAGCAAATGGGGCTGGGACAAGGCCCGCTCAGCTGTCCCTCCTTGGGTGGCAGAAACCTCAAAGAGTGGGGCAGGAGGGACAAGCTGGGCCCCCTCTGAGGCTCGCAGTGAGCTCCCCACAGCCCCTTCCTTCTCCCAGGCCATTAATACTCTGACCACTTGGCTGGGACTGCTTCCTTGGGTCCCCCTCCACCAACACCATTTCAGCCTCTGGACCTGCTATTATTCTACTCCCACTCTTTTGCCACCAGGTACAACCAAGTGTCCTCCCAAAGTACAAGCCAGGGCCACAGACAGGACCAGATGGTGGAAGACCTTTCCTTGGAGGAAAGGCTCTGAGCAACCTGGTCTAGCTGAAGATGTCCCTGCTCGTTGCAGGAGGGTTGGACTAGATGCCACTTAAAGGACCCTTCCAAGCCAAACTGTTCTAGGATGCTACTTAGTTGTCATTTGAAAAGCACCAAGAGTGGAGATTAGTAGGAGAGGAGGCCTCCTGATGCCTCTGAGTTTAGCTGATGACAAAGCCCATCCCTGGACAGCTGTTTCACCTGCAGCCACTTTGTCTGCAGAAGCAGCCTGGTAGGCCATCGGGGCCTCACATTCTCTTACAGGCAAGACTGCAGGAAGGATCGGAACACAGGAGGCGGATTTCTGGGATTCTCCAGCTCGGGTGGCACGTCCTTAGGCTTGGGACAAAGGAAACACAAGACAGCCATTAACCATCCCTACCCAAGGAGAAAGAGCTCCAGCAGAGGCCAGTCCTTGCTTTCTGAGAGCTGACCTGGGGCTTCTCCAGGAGCCCTGATCAACATTAGGACAAAGCAAATACTGTTAACACATTAGGAACTTGCAGCTCTGAATGACACCAAAGGCAGTGCTAGCCAAAGCTTTCATTCCTTCGGGCATTACTTCTCCAACAGCCACAGGTTCCTTCTCCACTTCTTCCTCTTCATTCTACTGTCCAGAGTCAGAGGACCCGAGAGGACCACCCGAGAGAAGTGGGCAGGTGCCAGAAGGCGTGTGCCGAGATTTCCATAGACCAGCGCCCACTCTGGGGTAGTTCCTGAATATGTAAAACCGTGCGATGGATATGGATGACCTACGGGGAGAAAACGGGAGCCGGGAGGGGGGAGCGCTCGCGCGTGTCAGGCGGAGTCATCCCCGCGCGTCCGGCAGCGTAATAAACAACTAGCGGCTTCATAGCGCCTGTGGCTCTTGAGTTTTACTACCGTCGCCTTTTCCCGGCATCCCCGAGGCCTCAGCTGAGATGGGGTGACCCCCAGGCTGAAGGAAAAGCCGCTGCGGGCTGAAGCAGCGGGGCACAAGGGCTGAGATGAGAATGGCTCTGGGCTTAGACAAAACCGGCTGCAGCTGAGGCGGGGGGGGCCCAGTTATGAGGCAGAAAGGGCTGCGGGCTGAGGGAAAAATGGCTGCGGGTTGAGGGGAAAATTGGTCCAGGCTGAGGGGGAAACACCTGAGGGCTGAGGCAAAAACAGTTGCCGATGAGGCGGGGCGGCCCCAGACTGAGGCAGCAGCGGCGCCGGTTCTCAGCCTGGGCGATGGGGTGGGGCGGGGGGAAGAGGCCAGGCACTGAGCACAGTGGCGAGGAGTCTCCCTACAGCTCCCCGGCCCCACGCCGTCCCGCTCCCAACTTGAAGGAAGCCCCAGTTCCGCTCCCCCCGCCTTTCTGTTTTTCTTTTAATTTTTTTTCCTTCCCCAATTCCAAACCATACCAAAACCCCCATCAATGGGACTTCCCAGCTATGAATAACAACAAAGTTTATTTACAAATGAAGTGGATGCAAAGATCAGAGTAGATACTTGCCACCGCAGGTGGGGAAGGAAACAGGGACGTGACAGTGCACAGGAGGCTCCGAAAACATAGAAGGAGGGGATGCAATGGCCACTTTATTAAGAGGAACGAGGACTTATATAGGGTTCAGGTGAGGGAGGTCCGATTACCGGGGCGGAGCATGGAGTTAACAACTGAACTTTTTCTTTATTATAGCATCTTTATAATAGCATATATATATTTGATGAAACGAGCACAAAATCATGAACTGCAGCACAGATTTGCCAAAACACTTCAGCAAAGCTGTGCTGCAGTCCAAGGGGCACAGCCCCTTGGGGGAGGGAAAAGAAAGCCCCTCTCTAGTTTGCAGGCTCTCCACTGAGAGCTCCTCGATCTGAAAACTCGTCTGGGACGCCCGTTCGCAAGCTCTCCGCTGAGAAATCCTCAATTGGAAGACTCCCCTGCGACGAGCACACGACGAACTGCACCACAAGCCGATTTCCTTGGTGCCTGACTGAGAGCGTTCCACGGACACTGCAGGAGAGTTATGGGGTGTTGTGCAAGTGCCCTAGACAGTACAGAGTCCAGGTATACCCATAGCACTGTAACACACTATCTATATACAACGGTCATAATTCTACAGTACATTGTGTAGATACAAACAATATATATTTACACAAACACTGTATATATACACTACATATATACACACTATATACACAGTCTCTCTATATACAAACACATATATGCATTATCTATTCAAAAGACCTCCGTTTCTTCCTCCAGGGCTGAAGCCAAACACAGAAGCCAAAATCAACTGCAAACAAAAGAAACAGCGTTAAAACCAGTTTGAATTATGAAAGCAAGCACAAGAATTCCCCACTCTCGGTCTGAGAGCACAGTGTTGAATCTAGCTGGAAGAGTGGCTGTGCTCTGTTTCCTCTGGAAGGGACATACCCAAACCAAAGGCACTCTTGACAGCCTCATCCTCTCTAGAGCTCTCTGCACATTGCAACTCTGCTCTCAGCTTACAGCAGTGGGCTGGGTGCTCCCACCAGCACCACTTTTGGGGAACTGGCAGGCACTCAAAGGCAACCCCAGACCCTGCCTCCCAGGAACGCTGTGCCTGACCAAGAACACCTACTCAATTTGACTGATCCATCCACTCCAAGAAGAATATTGTCACTTTTGATGTCTCTGTGGATCACTCGATTTGAATGAAGGAAGTCCAGTCCTTTCAGGCACTGAGATTAAACACAGAAACACAAGGGGAAAAATTAATTAGGCTGATTTTATCACACAAAAACGGAAATGGCTCTAAAAGATCAAATTTCCAGGTGACACATCAATTGCAGACATAGTTCAAGTGGCAAAGTGTAGAATAATAAATGAATTAAATTGAAATTAAACTAGAAAGGAAAGTACAGCAACATTATAGGAGTATAATAACAGAGTACAAGAAATGCAGTGAGACCGGCAGGCCGTTCACTTGGATGCTCTTTTCTTCTCCACACCATAACAGCAATGCAGAAACAAAGCTCTGAACAGGAAATCACTCCTGTTCTTACCACCTTTTGCAAAGAACCATCCTGTCCAAGCTGTCAGAAGCAAGGGCAGCATCCCTTACCTCCCGACTGATAGAGGCTATCATCTCTTCCTCAAGAGCTTGTATGGAAACCACAGCAGCTAAGGTGCATCCCTCCACATATTCCGTCACCAGCCAGAGTTCTTCATTGAAAAGGTAGCTGAAAGAAGAAACCCACAGCATGGAGATGAATGGGTCCAGCTAAATGACCTTATGGGAAAGACTGCAGTTGAGTTTTCTTGCCAGGTCACTTGTAAATGAAGAGAGAATCTGAGCAGGCTAAATGAGAAAGGCTCATCTGTGAAAAAGGAGATGTCTTAGATGGCAAGCAAGGCAAAAATGCAGTTTAGTGACAGCAGAGAGAAATGTGGAACCAGGACAGTGCCATCAGCTGCTTCATCATCTTAACTCATCCCTTCCAGCCTGAACTGCAGGAAGCAGGCAACACAGACTTCTCCATGGGAGGAGAGTGTGCACCACTGAGGGCAGATGTTGGTCAAGCCCTTGGAAAGCATTGCATAAAGTGCATTCAGAAACAGGGAAAACCGTTTAAAACCTGGCACATTGTGTGGTTGTGCAAACAAGAGCCTAGTCTTCCTGGCATCCACAGCAACAGAAAGTAGAGGGAAAACCCCAAGGGCAATCATTTCTAGGTGGGTTAATCAGCACGTATCATTAAGGCACAGAAAAGATGGTCAGTTTGAGAAAAACCAGACCCCAAAAGAACAGGGAGGTAGTGAACTGAAGGGCTGTGGCTTTAGGAAGACATGGCAGATGCACGTTTTAGAAGACACGCTTCAAACTACCTATACCAGAAAAGGCCAAGGCAGACACAAGGCAAGCTCCTCCCGTCCACTGCAGGTGGAGGAGTTGAGAAATAATGAAGAGCTCCATGTTCTTCCAGTGACCAAAGTGGCTTTTTAGCCTTTGGCTTGCAGTGTGTCAATGATGTGATAATCCCAGAACCACTCACCTGTCTATATAACGAATGATATTGGGGTGCCTCATTCTACTCAAGAGTGAAACCTCAGTTACAACAAGCGCCCTTTTGTTCTTTCTGTCGCGAAGAAAAATATGGCTCAGGGGAGAAAGGCAGGGCTCTCTGACAGTATTTGCACCTCACCTGTGTAGAACCAGCCACCATTTCTAGTGCTGTGATCCCAAGGGCCCAGATGTCCACTTTGGCATCATATCTGTCTCTTCTCAACATTTCTGGTGCCATATAGAAAGGAGTCCCGTGAACTGATGTCTGTTTCCTCTGCCCACGGAGGAGCCAAACACAGGAGCCAAAACCAACTGCAGAAAAAAGAAATAGCGTTAAAACCAGCTTGAATTATGAAAGCAAGCACAAGGATTCCCCACTCTCAGTCTGAGAGCACAGTGTTGAATCTAGCTGGAAGAGTGGCTGTGCTCTGTTTCCTCTGGAAGGGACATACCCAAACCAAAGGCACTCTTGACAGCCTCATCCTCTCTAGAGCTCTCTGCACATTGCAACTCTGCTCTCAGCTTACAGCAGTGGGCTGGGTGCTCCCACCAGCACCACTTTTGGGGAACTGGCAGGCACTCAAAGGCAACCCCAGACCCTGCCTCCCAGGAACGCTGTGCCTGACCAAGAACACCTACTCAATTTCACAGATCCATCCACTCCAAGAAGAATATTGTCACTTTTGATATCTCTGTGGATCACTCGATTTGAATGAAGGAAGTCCAGTCCTTTCAGGCACTGAGATTAAACACAGAAACACAAGGGGAAAAATTAATTAGGCTGATTTTATCACACAAAAACGGAAATGGCTCTAAAAGATCAAATTTCCAGGTGACACATCAATTGCAGACATAGTTCAAGTGGCAAAGTGTAGAATAATAAATGAATTAAATTGAAATTAAACTAGAAAGGAAAGTACAGCAACATTATAGGAGTATAATAACAGAGTACAAGAAATGCAGTGAGACCGGCAGGCCGTTCACTTGGATGCTCTTTTCTTCTCCACATCATAACAGCAATGCAGAAACAAAGCTCTGAACAGGAAATCACTCCTGTTCTTACCACCTTTTGCAAAGAACCATCCTGTCCAAGCTGTCAGAAGCAAGGGCAGCATCCCTTACCTCCCGACTGATAGAGGCTATCATCTCTTCCTCAAGAGCTTGTATGGAAACCACAGCAGCTAAGGTGCATCCCTCCACATATTCCATCACCAGCCAGAGTTCTTCATTGAAAAGGTAGCTGAAAGAAGAAACCCACAGCATGGAGATGAATGGGCCCAGCTAAATGACCTTATGGGAAAGACTGCAGTTGAGTTTTCTTGCCAGGTCACTTGTAAATGAAGAGAGAATCTGAGCAGGCCAAATGAGAAAGGCTCATCTGTGAAAAAGGAGATGTCTTAGATGGCAAGCAAGGCAAAAATGCAGTTTAGTGACAGCAGAGAGAAATGTGGAACCAGGACAGTGCCATCAGCTGCTTCATCATCTTAACTCATCCCTTCCAGCCTGAACTGCAGGAAGCAGGCAACACAGACTTCTCCATGGGAGGAGAGTGTGCACCACTGAGGGCAGATGTTGGTCAAGCCCTTGGAAAGCATTGCATAAAGTACATTCAGAAACAGGGAAAACCGTTTAAAACCTGGCACATTGTGTGGTTGTGCAAACAAGAGCCTAGTCTTCCTGGCATCCACAGCAACAGAAAGTAGAGGGAAAACCCCAAGGGCAATCATTTCTAGGAGGGTTTATCAGCACGTATCATTAAGGCACAGAAAAGATGGTCAGTTTGAGAAAAACCAGACCCCAAAAGAACAGGGAGGTAGTGAACTGAAGGGCTGTGGCTTTAGGAAGACATGGCAGATGCACGTTTTAGAAGACACGCTTCAAACTACCTATACCAGAAAAGGCCAAGGCAGACACAAGGCAAGCTCCTCCCGTCCACTGCAGGTGGAGGAGTTGAGAAATAATGAAGAGCTCCATGTTCTTCCAGTGACCAAAGTGGCTTTTTAGCCTTTGGCTTGCAGTGTGTCAATGATGTGATAATCCCAGAACCACTCACCTGTCTATATAGCGAATGATATTGGGGTGCCTCATGCTACTCAGGAGTGAAACCTCAGTTACAACAAGCTCCCTTTTGTTCTTTCTGTCGCGAAGAAAAATATGGCTCAGGGGAGAAAGGCAGGGCTCTCTGACAGTATTTGCACCTCACCTGTGTAGAACCAGCCACCATTTCTAGTGCTGTGATCCCAAGGGCCCAGATGTCCACTTTGGCATCATATCTGTCTCTTCTCAACATTTCTGGTGCCATATAGAAAGGAGTCCCGTGAACTGATGTCTGTTTCCTCTGCCCACGGAGGAGCCAAACACAGGAGCCAAAACCAACTGCAGAAAAAAGAAATAGCGTTAAAACCAGCTTGAATTATGAAAGCAAGCACAAGGATTCCCCACTCTCAGTCTGAGAGCACAGTGTTGAATCTAGCTGGAAGAGTGGCTGTGCTCTGTTTCCTCTGGAAGGGACATACCCAAACCAAAGGCACTCTTGACAGCCTCATCCTCTCTAGAGCTCTCTGCACATTGCAACTCTGCTCTCAGCTTACAGCAGTGGGCTGGGTGCTCCCACCAGCACCACTTTTGGGGAACTGGCAGGCACTCAAAGGCAACCCCAGACCCTGCCTCCCAGGAACGCTGTGCCTGACCAAGAACACCTACTCAATTTCACAGATCCATCCACTCCAAGAAGAATATTGTCACTTTTGATGTCTCTGTGGATCACTCGATTTGAATGAAGGAAGTCCAGTCCTTTCAGGCACTGAGATTAAACACAGAAACACAAGGGGAAAAATTAATTAGGCTGATTTTATCACACAAAAACGGAAATGGCTCTAAAAGATCAAATTTCCAGGTGACACATCAATTGCAGACATAGTTCAAGTGGCAAAGTGTAGAATAATAAATGAATTAAATTGAAATTAAACTAGAAAGGAAAGTACAGCAACATTATAGGAGTATAATAACAGAGTACAAGAAATGCAGTGAGACTGGCAGGCCGTTCACTTGGATGCTCTTTTCTTCTCCACATCATAACAGCAATGCAGAAACAAAGCTCTGAACAGGAAATCACTCCTGTTCTTACCACCTTTTGCAAAGAACCATCCTGTCCAAGCTGTCAGAAGCAAGGGCAGCATCCCTTACCTCCCGACTGATAGAGGCTATCATCTCTTCCTCAAGAGCTTGTATGGAAACCACAGCAGCTAAGGTGCATCCCTCCACATATTCCATCACCAGCCAGAGTTCTTCATTGAAAAGGTAGCTGAAAGAAGAAACCCACAGCATGGAGATGAATGGGCCCAGCTAAATGACCTTATGGGAAAGACTGCAGTTGAGTTTTCTTGCCAGGTCACTTGTAAATGAAGAGAGAATCTGAGCAGGCTAAATGAGAAAGGCTCATCTGTGAAAAAGGAGATGTCTTAGATGGCAAGCAAGGCAAAAATGCAGTTTAGTGACAGCAGAGAGAAATGTGGAACCAGGACAGTGCCATCAGCTGCTTCATCATCTTAACTCATCCCTTCCAGCCTGAACTGCAGGAAGCAGGCAACACAGACTTCTCCATGGGAGGAGAGTGTGCACCACTGAGGGCAGATGTTGGTCAAGCCCTTGGAAAGCATTGCATAGAGTGCATTCAGAAACAGGGAAAACCGTTTAAAACCTGGCACATTGTGTGGTTGTGCAAACAAGAGCCTAGTCTTCCTGGCATCCACAGCAACAGAAAGTAGAGGGAAAACCCCAAGGGCAGTAATTTCTAGGTGGGTTTATCAGCACGTATCATTAAGGCACAGAAAAGATGGTCAGTTTGAGAAAAAACAGACCCCAAAAGAACAGGGAGGTAGTGAACTGAAGGGCTGTGGCTTTAGGAAGACATGGCAGATGCACGTTTTAGAAGACACGCTTCAAACTACCTATACCAGAAAAGGCCAAGGCAGACACAAGGCAAGCTCCTCCCGTCCACTGCAGGTGGAGGAGTTGAGAAATAATGAAGAGCTCCATGTTCTTCCAGTGACCAAAGTGGCTTTTTAGCCTTTGGCTTGCAGTGTGTCAATGATGTGATAATCCCAGAACCACTCACCTGTCTATATAACGAATGATATTGGGGTGCCTCATGCTACTCAAGAGTGAAACCTCAGTTACAACAAGCGCCCTTTTGTTCTTTCTGTCGCGAAGAAAAATATGGCTCAGGGGAGAAAGGCAGGGCTCTCTGACAGTATTTGCACCTCACCTGTGTAGAACCAGCCACCATTTCTAGTGCTGTGATCCCAAGGGCCCAGATGTCCACTTTGGCATCATATCTGTCTCTTCTCAACATTTCTGGTGCCATATAGAAAGGAGTCCCGTGAACTGATGTCTGTTTCCTCTGCCCACGGAGGAGCCAAACACAGGAGCCAAAACCAACTGCAGAAAAAAGAAATAGCGTTAAAACCAGCTTGAATTATGAAAGCAAGCACAAGGATTCCCCACTCTCAGTCTGAGAGCACAGTGTTGAATCTAGCTGGAAGAGTGGCTGTGCTCTGTTTCCTCTGGAAGGGACATACCCAAACCAAAGGCACTCTTGACAGCCTCATCCTCTCTAGAGCTCTCTGCACATTGCAACTCTGCTCTCAGCTTACAGCAGTGGGCTGGGTGCTCCCACCAGCACCACTTTTGGGGAACTGGCAGGCACTCAAAGGCAACCCCAGACCCTGCCTCCCAGGAACGCTGTGCCTGACCAAGAACACCTACTCAATTTCACAGATCCATCCATTCCCAGAAGAATATTGTCACTTTTGATATCTCTGTGGATCACTCGATTTGAATGAAGGAAGTCCAGTCCTTTCAGGCACTGAGATTAAACACAGAAACACAAGGGGAAAAATTAATTAGGCTGATTTTATCACACAAAAACGGAAATGGCTCTAAAAGATCAAATTTCCAGGTGACACATCAATTGCAGACATAGTTCAAGTGGCAAAGTGTAGAATAATAAATGAATTAAATTGAAATTAAACTAGAAAGGAAAGTACAGCAACATTATAGGAGTATAATAACAGAGTACAAGAAATGCAGTGAGACCGGCAGGCCGTTCACTTGGATGCTCTTTTCTTCTCCACACCATAACAGCAATGCAGAAACAAAGCTCTGAACAGGAAATCACTCCTGTTCTTACCACCTTTTGCAAAGAACCATCCTGTCCAAGCTGTCAGAAGCAAGGGCAGCATCCCTTACCTCCCGACTGATAGAGGCTATCATCTCTTCCTCAAGAGCTTGTATGGAAACCACAGCAGCTAAGGTGCATCCCTCCACATATTCCGTCACCAGCCAGAGTTCTTCATTGAAAAGGTAGCTGAAAGAAGAAACCCACAGCATGGAGATGAATGGGCCCAGCTAAATGACCTTATGGGAAAGACTGCAGTTGAGTTTTCTTGCCAGGTCACTTGTAAATGAAGAGAGAATCTGAGCAGGCCAAATGAGAAAGGCTCATCTGTGAAAAAGGAGATGTCTTAGATGGCAAGCAAGGCAAAAATGCAGTTTAGTGACAGCAGAGAGAAATGTGGAACCAGGACAGTGCCATCAGCTGCTTCATCATCTTAACTCATCCCTTCCAGCCTGAACTGCAGGAAGCAGGCAACACAGACTTCTCCATGGGAGGAGAGTGTGCACCACTGAGGGCAGATGTTGGTCAAGCCCTTGGAAAGCATTGCATAAAGTGCATTCAGAAACAGGGAAAACCGTTTAAAACCTGGCACATTGTGTGGTTGTGCAAACAAGAGCCTAGTCTTCCTGGCATCCACAGCAACAGAAAGTAGAGGGAAAACCCCAAGGGCAATCATTTCTAGGAGGGTTTATCAGCACGTATCATTAAGGCACAGAAAAGATGGTCAGTTTGAGAAAAACCAGACCCCAAAAGAACAGGGAGGTAGTGAACTGAAGGGCTGTGGCTTTAGGAAGACATGGCAGATGCACGTTTTAGAAGACACGCTTCAAACTACCTATACCAGAAAAGGCCAAGGCAGACACAAGGCAAGCTCCTCCCGTCCACTGCAGGTGGAGGAGTTGAGAAATAATGAAGAGCTCCATGTTCTTCCAGTGACCAAAGTGGCTTTTTAGCCTTTGGCTTGCAGTGTGTCAATGAACCTCAATGTGATAATCCCAGAACCACTCACCTGTCTATATAGCAAATGATATTGGGGTGCCTCATTCTCTTCAGGACCGTAACTTCATTTACAACTTTTTCGCTTTGATGCTTTTGGTCTCCAAGTAAAATCTTCTTGATGGCCACCTGAAAGGAGATTGAAAGCCACAGACTTGAGAAGTCTGTTGCACGGGACCACAACGCACATGGAGCAGGTGTTTTTGGAATGATGGAGCCAGGGTGGGCCAAACTGCCTGGGATTAGACACCAGAGCTTCTTAACTGACAGGACAAGAGACGATTCCTCCACTCGCCCTTGTGTGCCAGTTACAGGACACATGGCTATAGACATTTTGCCTTGTAAACTCTGGACAAATGGTCTGCAAACAATCAATCCATAATGGAGGAAATCCCATCCTAAAAGGTCATGAGGGTTACACAAAAAAATACAGTCCCGGCACTTTCTAACATCTTGAAGTTGGATTTTGCAACTCTAAAGAACGTTTTTAACCCAGTTCCTATTTGCAGTTCTTTTCTGGGTTTGAAAAGGAATAACCCATTCTAGGGTATTTTATGGATGTGGCCGGGGTTATGAGCAGCGCTCAGGGCCTTTAGATCCCTTGCAGACTCCTGTGTAAGTGCACTTCCCAAGTGCAGCACTGCAGCTGGGTAAGGAGCCACCAAGTAGCTGATGCATTAGCATAGTCAGTAAATAAGTCTGAGCAAAGGTGTCCTTCTCTGAAAGATACCCCTGCCCTCCTTGTGTTCTTTTGGGGACTTAATAAGGACAAGGTCTGTCCAAACCGTGTGTTGCAGGCTGACACTTGTCTGCCCTCAGAGGAACAGTCTCTGCAGCAAAGATCTCGTGGCCACCCAGAGCTGTGGCCACAGCTCCCAGCGGAGGGGAAAGCACTCGAGAGCTGCACAATCTGCCGGGGGTGCTGGCCCTTACCTGTCCTCCTGTGGCAATGTCAACTCCTCGGAAAACAGCTCCGAAAGCCCTAGAAACAGAACAGCAGCCAAGAAGGGAGAAGGTGTTTAGGCCCTGGGCGAGAAAGCCAGCCCAGAGAGCAGAGCTCTGCTGCCCAGAGTGTTTATAAAACACTCGGCTTCAGCCCAGCAGCCCAGCAGCCCTCTGCCATGCAGGGCGGCCAGGAGAAAACATAGGACATACTCCACGTCCTGCTCCTTGTTACAGGCAAGAGACTGCCAGCATTGAGTTGTCTTTGACAATGCCTTCTGACCACAGTTATTAAATACTGATCAGGACTGACAGACAGGAGGATGTAAGCCCAGTGTCTGCCCATGTTTGCAGCTTGCCCGACTGCATGCTTGATAGGACACCAGCAAAATCCCTGGTCCATGGTTTTGTGGAAGTAGCTGAGATTGGACTTACCCTTGGCCAATTTGCTGCTGTACAGTGTATTTCTTCACAGGGTTCCCCTCACTCACAATGCCCTCTGAAAGAAACAACATGAAAGATGCTCGTGTGAAACAGAGATACCACCTTCCAGCAGATCCAAAAGGCAGCCCCACTGTGCGGGGCTGTGAGCCCTTTGTAGTCAGCTGGCAACAACAACAACAACAACAACAATAACCACAACAGCAGAGGCAGCTCCGATTCACAGGTGGCTCCACAAAAACTGATTTTCCACAGTCTTTTGAGGGTTTACCTTGACAGGAAACTAAGCACTTGGAGGAATGCTCAGAGGAGACAGAAATCAGAAATGAACAGGCACCAATGCAAGAGTTTGTTGTCTACAAACATTAAGGAGAGCTGGAGCAACAGAGCCCTATTTTCTTGGGGAGAAAGACTCCGTTTGATTCAGCAGAAGGAACAGCCACAGTGCTCTGTTACTTCCTCTCTTCCTTTAGTAGAACTAAAGCTGACATGCATACCATGGACTGCTGTACCAGCCAGGAAATACGTGATACGTACTGAGTTCATCAAGGAAAAGTTGTGTTAGTGGGGACAGCTTTGGCAGCTGGTGCGTGATTTTCTTTGGAATGCTTTTCTTCCGAGTGTCTCTTTTCCCGGTGCTTGTGCTTGGCATTTCAGTGTCGGGAAAGGAGATTTCTTCAGACTGTGGTGCTGCAGCAACACCTGCCATTGCAGAGCTCTTGAGGATCTGTGGCAAGAATTAGGTTATGTCAGAAAGGTGGCTTGCAGAGATGCCCTGAGATCATAGTTCAAATGCAAACCCTTGGGAAGATGCTGTTGGCCACAAGTCGGGCTCTTAAACTGTCTTTTGCTGCCCACTTCACCAAGTGAATGGACGAGAAGAAAAGACTGGATTTACACGAGTTCATGGGCAGTTTCCTCTTCAATTTTCATGCATTTTCTCAACCAAGCCGTTCAGAGGGGCAACTACCCTCTAGGGCACAGTTATTGCTGTGTGTCCTGAAAGGGACAGTCTGACTCAACTTGGAAGTTCAAAACCTCTTTTCCAGGTGTCAGTGGCTGGGCTGAAGCACAGTGTCATGGCAGAACTCCAGCCCTCACACTCTTCAGCCATGAAAAGCAAGTTCGCTCTGATCACAGGTTCTAAATTACACCAAAGGCAATGCTACTGTACTCTGGCACTTACTGATTTTATTTCTTCAGGCTCTGTGGCTCCAACAACAGCCACGGGTTCATTGTCCCAGTTGGATAAGTCCAGCCCAGCTCTGGCTGAGGTGGAGGGGCACAAAGCGCTGGCTGAGGTGGGGGGCACAAATTGCTAGCCTGTTCCCATGTGTCGCATTTATTTGTTGTACCGGGGCGTGTGACAACGCCCCCCGCTTCCAGGTTTTTGGCCCCCTTCTCCCTTTTGGGGGCTTGTGGGGTGCTACTGCTAAGGGTCTCCTGGGACAATTTCTTTGAAAGTGGTCAGGGGCACCACAGATGTAACAACCACTTTTGGCTCTGGTTCCTTCCTGCAGTCTCAGCCGGGCACTGTTGCTAACGAGTCAGTTTGATGTCCCACTGAGCCAACCCCTTGGCGGGCGCGAACCAGCTCGGCAATGCTGCAGCTTTCCCTCTTAGGAAGGGCTTGCAAAGCTCTTTTACTCTCTGGGTTCGCATTTTTGAAAGCCAGCTGCCTGTGCAGTATTTCTCTGGCTTCATCATTTTCAGTCTGCCTGTTTAAGGCAAACTGCAGCCAATCCAAAAATTGGTAATATGGTTCTGTTGGGCCTTGTATTATTTTTGTGAATGATAAAGAATTACGCACTCTTTTCTGAGGTGGAAAACAAAGAGATTTATTTCAAATACGGTGCTTCCTTTTCTACGCTGATACAATGGGACCCTCGAACCAATAGGGTTGTCTGTTCTACTTCATGTCCCTTGACTCCCTTGCCCCTGGGACACGCCTCCTACACTTGTCCAGAATCAGAGGGAGCCAGCAGAGGTTCTGGTGCTGCTGTTGTGCCCTGGGGAAAGTCAATAGCATCAGTGACAGTCACCGTTCTGTCCCTTGCAAGGTTGGATAGTTACACACAATAACAAAAGGGTCATTTCACACAAGGCCAATTTCTTGTTCATTTTTCATGGATTTCTGAAATAGGTCCTGTGGAGGGGCAGGTACATCCAGGGGACAGTTTCTGCTGTCTCCTAGGAATCCTGCATGGCAATCTAAAGACTAAACAGGAAGAGTCAAAATCCCCTTTTCCAGGTGTCAGTGGCTGGGTAGAAGCACAGTGTCATGGAAGGACTCCAGCCCTTGCACAGTCTTCAGCCATGAAAAGCAAGCTTGCTCTCATCACAAGTTCTAAATTACACCAAAGGCAATGCTACTGTACTCTGGCACTTACTGATTTAATTTCTTCAGGCTCTGCTGCTCCAACAACAGCCACAGGTTCATTGTCCACTTGCTCTTCTTTAATGTCTTGTCCGGAAAAAGAGGGAGCCAGCAGTGGTTCTGGTGTCGCGTTTTTGCCCTGGGGAGAGTCAGTAGAGTCAGGGACAGTCACCATTCTGTCCCTTGCAAGGTTGGATAGTTACACACAATAACAAAAGGGTCATTTCACACAAGGCCACTTTCTTGCTCAGTTTGCATAGATTTTCTCAACTAGATTGTGCAGACAAGCAGGTAACCCCTGGGCACATTTATTGCTATGTGTCCTGCAAGGGACACTGGCTCAACTTGCAAGTTCAAAACCCCTCTAAGCAAGGTCAACCCCAGGAGGATGCAGGCCTGTGTGTTGTTCTGAAGAGCACTGAGGTGGAGGTTCTCAGCACCCAGACAAGAGCAGGGACACAATGGGCAGAGCACTGATGGACTCAGCTCTGGCTTGCAGGGAGAGCAGTGTGTGCATTCCACCCCTGCCCCTCCCTGTGCTGGCTGCCCCCTTCCTTCCCAGCAGGGACAGCCCAGTGGCACCTTGTGCAGCTCCCTCTCTCTGCCACAAAACCTGCCAGAACCCTGGAGCACTTCTGGCCTGCTTGAATGTGCCAGGCAGCAAATGGGGCTGGGACAAGGCCCGCTCAGCTGTCCCTCCTTGGGTGGCAGAAACCTCAAAGAGTGGGGCAGGAGGGACAAGCTGGGCCCCCTCTGAGGCTCGCAGTGAGCTCCCCACAGCCCCTTCCTTCTCCCAGGCCATTAATACTCTGACCACTTGGCTGGGACTGCTTCCTTGGGTCCCCCTCCACCAACACCATTTCAGCCTCTGGACCTGCTATTAGTCTACTCCCGGTCTTTTGCCACCAGGTACAACCAAGTGTCCTCCCAAAGTACAAGCCAGGGCCACAGACAGGACCAGATGGTGGAAGACCTTTCCTCGGAGGAAAGGCTCTGAGCAACCTGGTCTAGCTGAAGATGTCCCTGCTCGTTGCAGGAGGGTTGGACTAGATGCCACTTAAAGGACCCTTCCAAGCCAAACTAGTCTAGGATGCTACCTAGTTGTCATTTGAAAAGCACCAAGACTGGAGATTAGTAAGAGAGGAGGCCTCCTGATGCCTCTGAGTTTAGCTGATGACAAAGCCCATCCCTGGACAGCTGTTTCACCTGCAGCCACTTTACTTGCAGAAGCAGCCTGGTAGGCCAACGGGGCCTCACATTCCCGTACAGGCAAGACTGCAGGTAGGAATTGAACACAGGTGGCGGATTTCTGGGATTCTCCAGCTCGGGTGGCACGTCCTTAGGCTTGGGACAAAGGAAACACAAGACAGCCATTAACCATCCCTCAGGCTGGCACTCTGTTGTAGCAGGCCAAGCTCACAGCTCGCTCCATGATTCTTGAAAACTAGGAACGTGAAAGCTTCCTTTTCCACTCACAGAATAACGGGCTGCTCCGTGTCCACCTCCATATCCATTGGTGATTCCGTCTGCAATGGGCAAGGGAAAATGAAGCAGATGCTGTCAGAAAACTGCCTCTTGTGGGGAATCCCATCACACAAGGTAACACAAATAAAGAGCATTTTTCTTTCACAACATCTCTCCAGGAGCAGCAGTTCTTTTGCACAGCAAGCAAGAGAAGAGGACAAAACCCCATGTTCATCTTCTTCTACAGTTTCCTGTCTATTTTTTATGCTGTTTTCCCAGGAAATAAAACAAATAGAAACTCCATCAAGCAAATGTAAATTGTCCATTAACAGTCAATGCTTCTGTTCTGCCCAAGAGCTAAAGCAGATTTAGCTAAAGAGATAAAGAAGTTTCCTCTTCTTTTATTTTTTCTTCTTCTGTTCTATTGGGTTTGGGTTTGTTTTTTTTTTCATTTAATAAATAGCAAGCATCAGTTCTCTTTAGCTTGCTGAAAATAGTTCCCCAGAAAAACTGTCCAAAAAATCCCCTCTAGCCATTCTGTCATAGCACACGAACAGCTCCTGGGTTCAGGAGCCTGCACTGTTTGGAAGTTGGCATTTTATTTCAAAAGTCATTGGTGTGATGACTCAAATCCTTTAATGATGGAATTTAGCAAACAGGATGCTTTCCCCTCAGTTCTGGAGATAACTGAACAGTTTTTAGAAGAACTTCTGAGAAGCTCTCCCAAGCCTGCATTTTGGAAGTCGTACTGGTAGAACCAGCAAAGTGAGGAAATTACAGACTCCACAGGCTAGCCAGTGGAGGGCACAGAACCCCCTCAAGTTCCATTCCAAATGCTGTCCACACAAAGACACCCCCCCTTTTCAGACAAAGCTGTTGACAGGAGTTCTACCCAACTAAGGGCATCTTAAGGGCAGTTTTGTTTCTAAATCATCTCAGTGCCTAAGGAAGAGCGTAAAGAACACAGCCATGCCAAAGCCAGGTATGCTGCCCCCAGGAACAAACACTACTCACCTCTCGGGAAATCCATCACCAGACAGGGCCTGTCTGGAGAAAAATATAAATTTGATGAAATGAACAAAAAATCATGAACTGCAGCACAGATTTACTGAAACAGTTCAGCAAAGCTGTGCTGCAGTCCAAGGGGCACAGCCCCTTGGGGGAGGGAAAAGAAAACCGCTCTCTAGTTTTCAGGGTCTCCACTGAGATCTTGATCCGAAAACTCCTCTGGGATGCCCGTTCACAAGCTCTCCGCTGAGAAATCCTCAATCCGAAGACTCCTCTGCGACGAGCACGCGACGAACTGCACCGCAAGCCGAGGCCCTTGGTGCCTGACTGAGAGCGTTCCACGGACACTGCAATGGCCACCCAGCACTTCAGTGACATCACAGCGACAGTGGGGCAACAGTCCTGTGACATCACGGAAACAGCCGTTCAAGGTTCCCCACGCTGCAATGGTTTTGGGTGGCTTCTTGACCCCTGGAATGTTGAATCTTGCTCTCCTGTTGGAGCCTGACCTCCCTTTCTGGCAGTGACTTGTCAGCTTACCTCCTGATGTAAAGCTCACCTTTCTGCCTAAAACTCATCTGGAAATCAACTCTGCTCTTCCATGGAATAATGGAATAATAAGTTTTGAATCCGTGTCTGTGTGGAGGCTGTTGGCTGGTCACCCACAGCCCACAGCGCTGTGAATAAAGTGATGCCTTGCTTTTTAACACTAGCAAT